TTCATAACATCAGTGTTCAGTTTTAACAGGATAGCATACTTAATTTATTTTTATTTTTTTTGTCTTTTCACTTTTTTATTAACACTTACAGACACATAAAATTCAACAGAAAAATCACAAAAATTTTTAACCCCTTTGTGATGGTATTTTGCTGAACTAAAAACCCTCCGCATATATGACGGGTGTGTCATATATGCAATCAGCCCCAAATGTCACTAGCAGCCGGGTGATGCACTGGTGCATCGCACAATGCATTGCACTGCCGTAACACATCTCCAAGGTTAGTTGTACTAAGCGGCATGCCATCTGGTAAGAGGATTAGTTGCTGATGCATATGTGATGCACCTGTCCTGAAGGGATTAAAGTTACGTTTAGAACTCTTAATACAGCATTAAGAGTTGTTCATTTAATTTTTTTCAATCTTGTCAATGAATTTTCAAAGCATTTCATGATCTTTATTACATGAAACTGTCACTGAACATTTACACTACAAAAAACTGTTCATGTAGGGTACCAAAAGCACAAAAAAATGTTCAACTACAGAAAAGCATGGGAGCAGCCTCAGAGTTTTTGCAGCCTTATGGGACTGAATAAAATGACTTCATGGAAAGGATTGTCACAGGCAATGAAACATGTATTAGTTATGAGACAACTAAAATGACATGAGTCACTGGAATTGCAGCATACTGGTTCCCACGAAACCCAAGAAAGCAAAATTACCTCTTTCTTTAAGAAACATCATGTGCATCATGTTTTAGGACTGTCAAGGAATTTTGCTAATAAACTGGATAGAACGAAGCACAAAATCAGTGCTACTGCTTACTGCAAGGCATGAAGAGGTAATGGTACATAATACAAAACAAAAGGTGTAGACTGCTGACTTCTGGTATTATATTCCTGCATGGCAGTTCATGACCGCATACTACATGCATGACATTAATCTGCTTGATTCATATTACTGGGAGTAATTCTGTCACCCTCATTATAGTCCACAGCTAGTTCCATCTGATTTCCATTTGTTTTCTCATCTCAAATAATTTTTCAGCCAGCATTTTGCAAGTGATAATGAGATCAAGATAAACCTTCAGAACTGGTTCAAGTTCTAGGCTCTCGAATTCTACGAAACGGGTATGTTGCAGTTAGTGCCAAGGTATGACACATGCTTTTATTTAAATGGTGAATATGCCAAAAGGTAAATTAAGATGTAGATTTTTCTGTATTAAAATGTAAATAAAAACAAACTGTTAATCTTTTTTTAAAAATTATTTACTTCCTGGACTTCCTTACTTTGTACATTTAGATTAATTTGTAATAATATCAATGTAGCATTATTAAAAAATTGATCTACTCCTGTTTTGCTTCAATATTTTTATTTAACAGACTTCAAGAGAGTTTATTTTTTAATAGACTCCAATATTTAAATTCATACCACAGACTGAAATTTGCAACCTCCAATTGTCATCTTCTTAAAGACAACCATCTCCATAATAAATTAAAATGTCTGGAGCCATTGACCTTAGAGAAGGTTTATGACACATCTAAGGAGATAAATAAAGTATATGCAAATGCTTGAATAGATTATCTGATTACAGGAAATTGCAGTTGTCTGCCTACAGGTAACGATATATTTGTGAAGGATTTTCTATGAGGAATTGCCCTATATTTAGAAATGGCTGACTCAAGCAGCCAGATCATTTAGTCAGTAGATAGGGAATCAAAGGGAAATTGCTCATGTTTCTTAGGATCTTCAACTACCACTCGCCCAAAGCACAGCATTTGAAAATTGCTTAAATACTCCAAATACTTAAATATGCTAAAATACTAAAATAATATGTTTCATATATCTTATCTGCATATACTATTTAAATCTAAAACAAAAAGATGCCATCCAGGCAGTTATAACTTAAGCAAAAGTAAATTTCATATAAAATGGCAATTATATGAAATCATGAAAGAAATACATATTTTATGTAGAAAATTAAATAATTTTTCATTCTACTTTCCTATATTGAATATTTAAGTGAGATACAATAATAAGCTGTAAAAGATGTGAAGTTCACTATCAGAGTCTACGTGGAACAAATTCAAAACAGAGATGCAACATGCTCATGAATACAATCACGTACAGTCAAAAGTCGTTAATTCGGACACCCATAATCCGGACCTCAAAGCTACAAACTTTCTGCGCATGCGTCGCATTGACACATGCACGTAAGACCTTTACGGCTGCGAATTTGCATGTGCATGTGCGCAAAATAAGTTTACGAATGCGCGTTTAATGTATAACGGACTGTATAAGCTAAGCTCTAATTATTCTATTAGTATGTGCAGATTGCATGTTTCCTTAATCTTCGAATTGGATCGGCTTATTATTTTTGCAGACGTTAGAGCAATTTTATAAAAGTAAGCTCGACTTTCAGATGTCAAATAGAACTTTTATTTACTAATATGTAAGGATCTACAAAGCAAAGTTTGTTCGGAGTCCATTAAACAAAAAGTGGAATTGCTGCAAAAAATGGAAGGCATCTCTTTGTTTATCTAAACTTGTTATCTAACACGCGCGTGCAATGAATGAAGTTGATCTGTCAGCATTTCCTTATCAGGGCAGATGTTTTATTTATTTGGTTATAATTGCTTACTAAATGTAGTATCATTTCGATATACCCTTTTGATATGATTTAAACAATCCTCGTCATTAATTCGCTTCCGATGGAAGAAGTACAGGGTTATTGAAAACGGAAAAATTTCGATTGACAATTGTCGGTATTCTCGAACAGCATTATAGGACTTGACAGCGGAACTTTGTAACTGAACAAGAAATATGTATGTTATAGAATTAAAGAGAATTATTATCACTAAAAAAACGAATCAACTTAAACAACTTACATTGAAGAAAGTTAATAAATTAAAAAATAATATTAAGCTTTTTTTTTTTTTTTTTTTTTTTTTAAATTTTGATACACTTTAGATCATAATTGTTCTTTAATTTCGTAAATTACGTTTATATTTTTAATTTTATAATTCTTCATGCCATTTTACCAGATTTAAACTGATGATCTGTAATCTGGAATCGCCGAAGTCCGACGAGTCCGGATTAACGACTTTTGACTGTATCTAATAATTGTTTTCAATACATGCATCTATAATTATTTTATAACTATACATTACATGTTATTATGTTGTCCAAAAATATGTGCAGAAAGGTAAAATAAGGCAAAAAGTATCTAAAACAGCCCTAGCGATGTTGACGAATCTTCAACAAATATAGGATCTGGTACTGCAGGACAACAAAAAAGGATACATTTCATAATCATTTTTAAGATATATTTTTGATAAATATTACCTAGAAATGATAATTAGATGGGGTTATAAATATACGTACATTATGTAAATTGGAATTCTAACTTTAAATTGCAATAATCTAACTCTACATTTTAATTTGCATATTTCCCGTTTCCATTCCAAAACTAGCAATTGCTTGTAATAAATCTCTCTAACCTGCAACATTAAAAATTAATAGCATTATATGACTTTTTAAAATAAGGGTGATGATGCAGATGGTTTTGTGATCTGAAACTCAGCCAACAATAATTTTAAAGCACTATTGTTCAGCCAATCAAATGATATCAAAACTGAAATAACTCAATATGAACTCAGATTGTGTCTAGAATGCTCCCCACTCGCTTTCTGCTTCTCTTGCTAATTAGATGCTATGGTGCTGCTCTCTTCTAGTGTAATAATATCTAAAAGATTTCTAGGACAAGGCACAATTAGTGTGCCAAGTTATTTGTGGCTGCAAATGGCAACTTAAATAGAAAGGAATATTTAAATTTGCCATGACTGCAAGCTTTTGTTATCACATCTACAAGACTCAATATTTATTACCTTCATTTCAAAACATCACATATATTTATAATCTCATTTGACTGCTTATAACTGAAGTTTTGAATTATTGTGCTTTAACAGAAATGATTTTTCTTAAATAATCTGAAGATTTTAAAACATATTTGTTCCAAATAACAGACAACTAGAATTACATACTGCTATAAAAGGAAGAGTAGAATGTATTTTAAATACAAAACCTTCAAATAGCTAAATGACTAGTCCCTGTTTTTCTCAACAACACTTCAGAGAATAGGGCATGATAGGATTTAATATCCCTCTTCTCTAACCACCACACTATTTCTCAGACTGCTATCACACATTCGTTTGTTTCAGAAGGACAACTGTTTGGAACAATTTTTCTGCTTTGTCACAATAGCCAATTACCACAGATAACGTTGGTGTTAACACAAGGGAAACTTGTTCTCTATTACAAACAAACTAATAGCTTTTCGAAGCCGATAGCTGATTGGCTGAAAATGAACAACTTGCAATTTTTTTGGAAAGAAAGGAAAAAAAATCGCATGTCTTTCTTTCAATAGTAAACCAGGCAGAAAAATTGTTCAAAACCGTTGTTTGTGTGAAACAAATGTGTGTGTGATGTGGGCCAAACAGGCTTCTAGATTGTCAGATTCTAAGTGCCACATTTTACAGTGATGCTACTGTTACAAAGATACAAATATGCATGAATCTTAACAAAATTTTTTGCAGTAGTTTGTCTAAACTTAGCACAACCTTTGCAGTGATTTAATCAAATGTTACATTTTTTCTTATATTAAGAATATAACACATTCTTTTTAAACACATATAACCACAATACCATAACATACTAAAAATATAATCTTATATACATATACATTACATAAATTATTAACTTCATATTTATGATCATCTCTTTGAAATGGAAACTCGGAAATGCTAATTCTTAAGAAGACTGAAAAAACTATTAAAAACTTTTAATAAACTTAGAAGTTGTTTAAAACTTGTATTCCGATTCCTACGCATATAGATAGAATTATTATAGTGGTATTATACATATAAAATTGGGATAACCAAAAATAAGTTAATCTACCTCTGAATTTTAATAAACATTTAATTCTTTTGACCATGCTACTCACCAGTCCTAATGTGAAAAAGTTATAGAAATAATCTGAGCAACTCCATTTCCTATATCTGTGGGAATTAGGAGAGTGAATTTTCATTTTATCCTCAGATTTATAAAAGACTTTACTTGGAGAACCTAATGCACTAGTAACATCCTAAAAAATAAAATAGTCATATAAACAAAACTTAACACAGCACAGAAGTATTACTTATAGTAACTGTACCACAGGCACTGTAAGTAATACTTATCTCAAGACACAGAGATATAGACACATATATAATAAAGTTTATTCAAAAGGAATGATCCAGCTTTGAATGGCTTCATTTTTTTTTTTTTAAATTCCCAAAGACAGAGTAACAAGCAACGCAAAAAATCTTGTACTGCTTATGAATGTTTTAATTTTATATATATGTAAATTTTACTTTTGAATGGTTATATGGATCTTCCTTTAATTATTAGCTATAATCGGACATATTGTCGCATGTGCTCTGTGGTAGCATCAAAGCCGTTCAGTTCTTCAAACAATTTAGTACATCAAAGGAGTTTGGAGAAGCTAATGCCCTGTGACAGCATCAAAGCAATCAAGCAGGCTTGTAAGAAAAAACCTGCATTAACGTAATATACTAAGCATACTAGAAATTTAATAATTTCAATCACAATTTTTCTAATAATTGTGACAAAAACCAAAGTATAACTTTTAAAACAAATCTGATGTATAAGCTGGTAGCTTATTTTCTAATTATTTTCATATTTTGAATAGAAATATTTCACAACACGTGCTGTTTTATTTTTTCTAAAGGAATAGAATACATAAGGAGTAAAAGCACAGAAAATCTGCTTGCTCTGTTTTCACAAATGATTGCATTATTTTTCATTCAAATGAAAAGCTCTTTACAGCAAAGAATATTATAGCAAAGAAAGCTTTAAATTTATTCCTATTCAGCTGACAATTATAATTAGAAAACAAATTTGGAAACCAGAGAACTTTTTTTTTGTTTTTGTTTTGTTTGTTTTCCCTATTTAAAGAATGGAGAACATACAGCAAAAGCCTATAATATTCAATTACATTTATAAAACAATCATATCAATTATTCAAAATTCTTATTAATTTACTTCAAATATTTTTTCTATTAAAATTCTTTTACTATGTTTATAACAGTACAGAAATCAAATAGTTCTTGAATTTTTCTGAGTTGTAATATGCTGCTCCTGCTGTCATGAAATTTGGTTACTTTTGTCAATATTTAGAAAAACTAAATAAAAGAATACAGAATGATTGCATATGTTATTGTTTCTCACTTTCAATCAGTAGTTGAATTTAGCTGAAAAAAGACAAACTCTTTTAAGAATTTTTACAAAAGCTTTCTTGAGAAACAGAAAAAGAAAACTTAAAAAATAGTATATGAACTTACAAAATTACATAAACCATGGATTTAAAAAGTTTTTATTTTATTTTATTTATTTTGGGTGTGTATTCCTTCCACGCTGTGTTTGAACAGTATCTGACACTCAGGAAAAAAATCTAGAGTACTCTGCTTCCTTTAAATGATTTCCTTTCACAATGCACAAACAAAATTAATGTTTTTATACAAATTTAATGATGTTTAAAAAAATTTGATACCAGAATAATCCCTATTTCATATTTGAATTCAATGGCAAAAATATTCTCAGTATTCACGGGTAGTTTGATACACAAATCAGAAAGTTAAAATTTATTTCTTAGTATAATTGTTGAAACTATATAAGTAACAAAATCTGAGATCTGAACTCATCAATTCTGGATCATTAGCAATTCTGGATTTTATAATTTTTTGGATTTTAGATCACCAATTTAAATCTAGTAAGGTGACATAGAGAAACAATAAAATAAAAAATATGAAATAACGATGCATTTATAATTTTAAGGGAATCAAAATTTACAAAACGTGCTCAATATTTGTTTGTTTCATTAAACATTTATTTTGATGTAAGTTGCTTTTTTTTTTTTTTTTTTTAAACTTTTATACACAGACATAATTTTTTGTTCAGTTGCAAAATTCCACTGTCCAAGTCTTGCAATTGCCATGTCAGGAATTTCTATTAAATCGTCTATTGAAATCTTTTCGTTCTCAATAGCCTCCTTGATACTTTATTCATTACTCGCAACAAATCTTACAGCAGTTCCAGAAATAGAAACTTTTTTCACAAATTCAAATTCTAATTTTCATAAGTTGGTATAATAACAGCTTGCAAAAAATATAACATGCTGGATAAAATTAGAAAGTTAAGGACAACAAAATTTTCTATGTTAACTGAACTTAAATTCCTCACAATCATAGTGTCTTGGATATGGATTTAATACTTACCAGCATTTGCTATACACTTTTGATGACGTATCATGAAATTGGCAACTAATGACATGTCGCTCCTCTAAATTTTGTCTTGCTTCTATAGCGAACTGCATAAGTTAAGTCTGAATTACATGCCTTTAGTTATTTAAATTTTTATGCAGCCAAAAGTCTTTAATCCGGACGTCCATAATCCAGAATGATCTATAATCCGGACCTCAAAGCTACAAACTTTCTGCGCATGTGCATAATACGTTTAAGCATGCTCTTTTAATGTATAACGGACGGTATAAGCTAAGCTAAAATTATCTAATATCTATTTCAGTTAATGTTGCTGCTCCCTGATCTTCTAATTTAATGGAACCAGCTTATTATTTTTTGCAGACTGTTATTTTTATGGCAATTTTATAAAAACTAAAGTTGAACTTTCGATTATGTGAAAAGAAGTTTCCAATTCTGGAGTTGCCAAAGGATCTATCTACAAAGTGAAAGCTGTTGCGATGTCCATTAAACAAAAAGTGGAATTGCTGCAAAAAATGGATAAAGGCATATCCTTTGTTTATCTAACCATTCCGAAATCTGTTTATCAATTTCACGCTGCTCTGCGGGGAAGGGGAAACATCGTGGCGCGCAATGAACTGGAAGTTGATCTGTCAGCACTAACCTTATCTTCAGGGCAGATGTTTTTATTTTATTTGGCTTATAATTCCTTACTAAATGTAGTATTTAATCTTGATGTACTCCGTCTTTGATATGATTTAAATCAAATTCCTCGTCATTATAAATATCACGAATACACATCATAAAGTTTTCTGGTTGCAATTTTCTAATTTCAAATATGCATACACATGTGCGCATTAAAAGAAATGTTTAATAAAGTAAACAAATAAATATTAAGCATTTTTTTTTTGTAAATGTTGATACCCTTTAGATCATAATTGCTCTTTATTTCATAAATTACGGTTTCATATTTTTAATTTTATAATTTCTGCATGCCATCTTACCAGATTTAAACTGATGATCTATAATCTAAAAAACCGATAATCCGGGGTCGCCGAAGTCCCGACGAGTCCGGATTAAAGACTTGACTGTATTTATGTCTATTTTCTGCACATTCTTAAGGCTTGTATAATCTCAAATAAATAAATCCTCACATATACATAAGGCTTATCTGTATAATAAATCAGATATTAATTCAAATAACATTAAATGTAATCTTTTGGCCCACAAATATCATTTACAAAATCTTTTTTTGTGTGTATAAAAAAATTTCTCCTTGTCAACACACCCCAGTGGCGTAGCGAGGAGGGGGCAAGGGGGTGCATGATGCCCCAGGCGCTGCTCGTAGAGGGGCGCCAAATGGTCTCCAAACAAGATTTTCCTGAAAATTTCAGTTTTTATTTTGATCGATTTCTGGAAAATATATTTAAAATTAATAACTATTGTAATATAATTAATTATTTATTTTCTTGAGTTTTCTGATAAAATGTGTAATAAAATGTTTTGCAGTACATCAACCAAAAACATTCTTCTGATCACTTTATTTCTCCAAAGAAGAGATATATTTTTATTTCTTTAAACGAAATGCTTGTATATCTCCCGCTTTTTATTTTAAAACGATAACACGACCTTGTCCGGAATTTCTCAAACATATTTAATTTTCAAAATCCGATTCCATAGGAAATGACATTTTGGGAAAATCCTAATGCTTCTGCTACAATGGATTGCGTTTGACTCTCATGTAAACGACTGATGGCCTTCCTGGCTACCGATTCAACTAAGTCATCTTGCTGAGACATCGTATATTCACTGCTACGAAGCATTCAACGCTTGTCAATTGTTTTTAATCTCCTATTACAAAAGGAATACTGCAAGTGACTCCTTACTTCTTATCTAAAATGCATAGTTTTCGACGTCACAGACTAAATTTGCATATTCCCAACTTTGTAAACGTTATAATTTTCCTTTATAATCTCTTCTATTTCCTTTTGTTCAAAAAGGTTGTCGATTATATGGTTATTTCATACCGAACCCACAATATTCCCGAATTGTTTTGAGCAGTGAATGTGACTGCATGGCGTTACTCCGCAGTAGAAAAGAAACGGAACCTAAAAGTCCACTACAGATCTATGGAGAAAATGTTTTTCAAAACCTAAGAGGCGCACTTCAAATACTCCTTACTATTTCATTATCAAATGCTGTTCAGCAAATTAAAAAAAATTTTCACATATTTACAATCAACGATGGGACAAGATCCCCTAAGTCATCTAGCATTTTTAAGTGTGGAAAGAGAAAAATTTGAAAGGATCGACTTCAATGAAGTAAATGATAAATTTGCTTCATCCAAGGTATGAAAAATGTATACATAGTAATTAATTTATTCACGTATTATATTATTGTTAACGAATATAAGTGCCCGACCAAGTTGAGGTGCACGTGATTGAAGCGATATGAGGGCAAATTAAAATTTTAAAGTTGGCTGGTGCTGTGACTGACAATTTTAGATGTTTGGCACTCCAAGCACGAACGTGTCCATTTGGCTATGTCCTTTTGCATGCTAGGCCATACGAAACGTTGCTGTATCAGTTTCTTCGAAGCCTTGATGGCAGAATGTGACAGACGATGTAACTGACTAAAAATGGCATAGCGAAACCCGGAGAGAACATAAGGTCGAAATCTTAAATCCTGAACATTACAATAAAGTGATTTTTCAAGTGACAGCTGCATAGGCTGCAAATTGAGATTGGTGGAAGATTTGCTTTTCAAGAGGGTTTGTAGTTCTGAATCTCGGTGTTGTTCATCCGCAAGACCGGAAACAAAGTTTATT